AAGCATGCATTTGTGCGGAAGTATGAATTATAATCTAAACATTAACATTTCCAGTGTAATTCAAACTCCAAAAATCTGAATTTTTTCATAGCAATAAAGTAAGTTATTATGTTAATAAATCCTGAAATCCGGCATTTAATAATTAAAAAATTATGGAGCATTTTCACATTAGAATATTTATTTATTATGCATTCAAAAATAAGAATTATAATGCAGACAAAAATATGATAGGATCAACTCAAGTTTATTTTCAGCTTGTGTTAGCAACTGCTAATCCATCAATTCTTATAACTATTTAAAATAAAATTTATTATTCACTTGTTAGTTATTCAATATTGCCTTCATAGTTTCATCTTACATTTTTATTATAATAAAAATGTAAATAATAAAAAAATTCTAAAATAAATACATTTTCAGAAATAGAATAAAGAATAACAGTCCCATTCGTTGTTCTAACTGCTTTTGTTTATTTGGTAACTCATCAATATACAAATTTGCTGTAAACTTAGAGAAAATAAAGCGGAAGGTTTCTGTCTCATCTTCCGATTTACTCAACGATTCACTCTAAATTATTTAAAAAATATGCATTCCACGCGCGAACGAATACGCTAATAAAATCCTCGATGTTTCAACTTAGTTCGTTAATAATAATTAATTGTTAATAACTTGTTAACAGTCGCTTACGCGCGTTTATGCGAGACGCACTCCATCGATCCAAAACGGACGCGATAATTCACCGCTAATATCCTTGCCGCCATTTACCCCGATACTAAAGATGAGATTGCATCAGATTGCAGATATGTAGTTTTGCAGATATGCTATAAAAATATTAAATAGTCTACTTATATAAATTATTTAATACTATCCACAAGTAAAAGAAAAATTAAATACATAGAATTAATTGCCAATTCCAATTATTTTCAACCTGATCTAATTCTATTCTTGTAAAATCTCGATAATAAAGTGTTGTGTGTTGATACAATAACTAGTAATTATTTATTTCAAAAGACATTTCATCGAACATACCTTTACATCAAGATTAAGATCATCGACAAAATATCTAATTACTCAGTGATTGTTTGTAGATGCAAAACGATTGTGGAAATTTTATTAAATCATCTATATATACTTACAACAGTTACAACAAACACGAAACTATACAAGGCGGCGAAAAATCGTTCCGGTTCGGCTCGAGAGGCGCGAGAAATACTCGGAAAGTGGTAAACGGATAAAATCAATAGGACATGACTTCGTTGATATGTCTACTTAACTTCAATCTTATTATTGTACGTCCACCCTATACAACATTCAACAATCTCGATGGGAGACACTCGTATTTATACAAGAAAAAAGAAAATCACAGGCTTTTATAACACACGCCAGACGAATGATAGGTAAAATTTATAATACAAAAATCTATTAGTAGTTAAAATATTATTATTATCATCACCATTATTGTGTTTGAAGGTTCGTCTTGTAACTTCCGAAGCTACGAAACGTTACCGCACGACGGGTAATAATCCGCGTTACCCGTTACAGGTCGCTGTCTCATTATTATTATCATTATCATTATCATTATCATTACAATTATCATTAGCGTTATCATTATTATTATAAATAGAATGGAATAGTAAAGAAGAAATGTATAAAAGATACTTAGAAGAAAAAATTCAGAAATTTTGGTCATGAAGTACTCTAAGACATAGAAACGTTGCAAGTGTATCTGCATAGAAAAAAAATATATATATATTCTTTAGCGATATAAATAATTTATTTTAAACGAATAAATAAGAGCGATAGGCAGTAGTTGCTTATGCTGATCTCTAGCCTGGTGAAGTATAATATACTTTCGATATGCTATAAAAGTCTGTGAAAAGAAGCCTTCATTCTTACATTCTTTCGTAACACCTTGTGTCAAAGATAACTTCTTAAATGCCTGATTTCCTCGTTTCAATATGATTTAATGATTCCAGAAATCACTGATTACCGGTAAATCTTCGATTGACTTGACGTATTAAAATTATCGTCTTCTATCACACTTCTTAAAATTAAAGAAATTCTCAATGCCTAGTACTGAAATCAATCAGAAATTTTAAATTTTTTAAATTAAAAGTATATGTATATTTAGATTCGATTCTCACTTTTCGATTCGATTCCAGGCTTTTGATTTTTATGAGAATTTTCATCTTCGAGAAACTAAAATTGTAAATTCTTGTACATCTTTAATTTATGTATATTCTGAGATTCATATTTCATCTGTAGAGTGTATGAAATCGATGGATCCTCAGATTTCTAGATTTTATACCGTCCAATATATCAAATCCCCACAAGTCAATTTAAAATTCATTTAAAAAGTTAAAAATAGATTTACAAACAAATTGTGTAAAATTTACAAATGAGTTCCCAGATTCTAGAAAATCATAATTCTAGACCTTTTGATTATTATATAGATCCTTCAATTACTTAAAATATAAAAGTCCTGGATCCTTGAAAACACTCGCGACCTTTTTATATCCCCTTCCTGTCGTATTATATGAATTTTTTAACATTTACATTCTGAGCAGTGATATGAATAATCGTTTAGATATGCTATTGCTTTTCGGAAACAAAAAAATCAGGCTGTACACATCGACGCTTTTTCGCTACCTTAAATTTACTTGCGTTAAAGAATACGAATCGTACAAAACAGCTAGAATAGCCGCCCATTGAATTATCAAGGGACCTTCTATCTCGTGCTTTTTTCTTTTGAGGTTTCGTTTAAATTATAAATGCCATAATAGTTTAGGATGCGATACTTTTGGCGATTTATATTCTATTTTTCTCCAACAATGGTTCTTAGAACTAATAAATGTATGAATTACACTTAAAACGTTTCGTGTAAAATTAAAAAATCACATGCTATAAAAATAAAATGTTGGAAAAAATTCCGTAAAACAATTTTTCGAGGTGTATAATAAATCGTCCTTTTAATTTAACATTAACGTACTGAATTCCCTCGATTTCGCACAACGTATATCCTTTTTCGTCTCTTTTTTTTTTCAAAAGAAGCACTCATCGACTTTTAGCAGATTATATTTTTCAAATATTACTTTCGTGCTTTCCTTCCACTACGAAATAGAAGTCAATTTATTTTACACAAAGATGTGTAAAATACTCGACAAAAACTTGGCAAATTTCGACACCACCGAATTCTCAAGAATTTAAAAACTAGGTTCTTTCTTAATACCGTTCATCGTGATACGAAGAGACGGAAGATTTTAAAATACAAGTCAACCTCGATTCTCGCCTCTCGCCACAGAACGGCCAAGAGAGGATATTTCCATTTTGTCTGGCGGAGGAGATCGATGGCGATCGCCTCACCGTTCTCGAGTACAATTCCGAGAAAGTATTTTGGCCGCGAGAGGAGAAACGCGCCGGATATTCCAACTTCCGTGAACTCACTCGTGGGGCGCTTTGACTCTGTGTGGGCAGGCGGGGGAGAGAGTGACATAAATATCGTCTTACCGAAACGAAACACGTTATCTTGCGAAAAAGTTCTCTCGCCGGAAGATCAAGAGAGTAAACTCTTTAAGTCCTTTCCAGGTGTTTTTCAACTCCGTGGTGGTACTTTAGTGTCGTGCGACGCACGTGAATTTTTTTCCGGGGGAACAAAAAATGAGAGCAAAGCTGACCAGAAATCTCTGTGTAAAATTGAAGTATGTAAAACGTGATATTCCCCTTCATTATATACGGTTACCGGGCCGATTGAGAGAAGCTCGTTTTTACACAAAGCCCAGAGAATCGTCACGAAAATTTTCAAGTAGAATTCGTATTATACAAAAATATATTTAAAAATTCGACAAACTGAAAGTGCGCTAATCATAATTTGCTACAATTGAATATCAGCCTCCATTTCGTTATTTTCGCGTTGCAATATACATTTTCGCAAAACTCGTTCGGAATGGTAAAACAAATTTATTATCATTATTATTACCGTTTCCGGTTTCGTTTCGCAACTTAATACTTGAGCGATTTTAAAGGAATGTATTATTTTGCAAGCGTTCGAGGGAAGCGGAGGTCGAAACACCAATGAGCGGCTCATTGTTTGTTAATAACGGCTGCGTTTTCACCGCGCACAATAGTAAAATCCCATTTTCATTGTTACATTGACAGAAATGTGGCGTTAAATGTCACGGGGGGGAGGGCACTATTAATTTTCAATATTACGATATCCTAACAATAAATTCTATCAATAATGTGGTGTTCAACATTTCGCCATAATACAATATACCACATAATCTTAAATACAATTATACGATTGGTACCTATGTTTACGTCGAATGTATGATATCTACATGAGAATTAGATTTCGGGACTAGTTCTGGTCACGCCGTAACGCTACATGCACGGTGAAAACGCGGGCTTTATTACGAATAGCTCCTACTTTCGTAACGACGTTACACGCTTCGTCTAAACGTCTCAATCATGCGTATGATCAGGGTTATCACAATGTTTAAACGACGAAGAGAAATTTTTAAATTCTATGCGAATATTTTACTTCGCGAAATAGCTGGAGAAATAATGTGGACAAAAATGAGATGTATGACAGTAATTAAAATCGACTGAAAATTAATTATGCCCAAATAACGGACAATTTATGTGAATATTAACTAAATAAAATGTCAATATATCTAAAGTTTGTCAAGTTGTAAAATATCTCGTCCGTACATCATTGCATCGTTTGATGAATAATATATTAATGAAAAAAAAATTAATACATGTAACATAAATTATTAAAATAAAAAATAACATTTAAAATTGCTTATTAAAATATCGTAATTTAATTCAAGTTCGCGTCGTGATTTAATTAACATAATTGAATTAAAATTAAATCAAAGCGTTTATGTAATAAAATTAATCCATGTTATCTCTTGTTATAAAATATTTATTTTGTAAACGTTATTAAATAAAAATGTTAAATAAAAGCCAATATTAAAAAATTTAATTTAATGAGACGTAATTTAATTCAACAAACAAAAATTTAATTTAATTACAAATTTAATTTTATGAAACATTTTCTCTCGCGCGCGTATAACAAATAGGAATACTTTTCATCAAAATATCATTTCACGTCATTTCTCGAACTCAAGTTGTACGAATTGCATTTAAAAGCGAGAATATTTTCACGGATCGTAGTCGTCATTTAAACAATCGTGCTCATCTGATTTCCATGCTCGTTACAATCATCGCAATTTAACATCCGACAACGGTTTAATGAATGTTTATCGATAATCTGTCGAATCAGTTCTTTGCGATTACTCTTACTTAAAGTTAGGTAAGTAGTTAATTAAATTAGTTACTTAGGCGCGTTGATCAGCGGCGCGGGTGTTTTTCTTCTCACCTCGCCGCTTCTCCGTCCTTGTCACGTATCGTACTTTCTTCGATATATCGTCTCGTGGATGGCTTCGTATCGATTATCGTCGAAAATAAAAAAGGAGAAAAGGGACTGTTGTCCAGTTTTTTTTTAACGACCGTCTCGAGTCGATTTATTCGCAATCGAGCCTCTCGATGAAGACCCTCAAACGTGGACTGTCAAAATTAATAAATGCACAGTCTTCTTTTCACCTTGCTTATACCTCTTTGACGAAATACTGGAATCCTTGGACCGTGTCCGAGAATTCTACGATGTGTGCAAGTTTGAATCTTTGCATCTTTGTTGAAAAAAGCTAGGCCGTTTTTTTTAATCTTTAGGATCTTATATATTGAAATTTGATTTGAATATTGTAAATATTTGAATCTTTGAGAATTCTTGACATATTACGTACTAAAATAAATACTAAAATTTTGAATCGTAAATAATCAAATCAATTGTTGAAGATTCTAAAGTTTCGACCATTGTGGAATTTTTAAAACTATCCCCGGAAATCCTAGATTTTAAGGTTTCAGATTTGTAAATACTGGAATATCTAAAACTTTAATTTTCTAAATGTCTAGTATTTTAAGTTTCAAGAAATTTATAAAAAATTAAATATTCATCGTATTTGAAACTTTATCGATTTCAAATTTATAGCTTTATCCAGTTATAGAATTCTCGGATCGCTATCCTGCCCGAATTCATTATTCTACTCTCACTCATTCCTAAACTGTTACACTATTTACTCTGTTTCACTTCGAACTCTTTCTTCTCTCCGCATTCCAAAGTTTCAAAAACTAGGGAATAGGATGCTGCACGCGATGCGGAACCTTTTGACAAGGATAGTCCTTACATTTCTTAATCCATTAGGATGATGTTTCATAGCTCATCAAGTCACGGTTACTGTTATTTGTTACTTCAAATCCCCTCGAAAGAAAAGAAATCGATATTTTCTTCCTCACTGTGTGATTCTTTCGAGTTCAATGAAGAAAGACGCTGGTAACAGACCTGGTGGTGTGGGGAGGCAAATCGGGGGCCTCAGTGAGGGCCCCCTCGTGCCCCTATGCACTCAGACCGAGCCGATGTATCTTCGCCGAAAGGAAGTTGTGCAGAACGAACACGATTGGTTTCGGACAGCTCTCCAAATCAAGCTCCTACAATAGAATTAATCGATACTTCTTACTTACTGACCGAAGTACGGCATACATAAGCTTCCGGGTTTTTTAAGAAAATATCTGCTTTTTAAGTAATCAATTTTAAGTATTTATAGATTCGGGAAAAAAGTAAAGAAATAGTTTTTTAAGAACTGAGAATATATAACTAGCCTTTTTTAGTCATTAATAAAAAAAAATAATAATGTAAGTTAAAATAAAAAAATTTACGATTATAACAAACGTTCCTTCATTTTCATAAACTTATCCTCAAATTTACGGTGGATTTACTCCGAAGACATTAAAGAGACATTAAAATTTCCAGTCTTCTCGGTCCTTTTGTGTTCTAAAATCCGTATGTCTATCAAATACTCACAATTTCGCCGTCTTCGCCTCCAAAATCGAGCCACAGAAGACGGGCGCCGTCGTCCGCGGACATTTTCAATTTGTCGAAGGATCTTCTCCAGAGTGGCGTGGGCGGTGAAGCAGGACTTACGCCGTTCCCGGCGGTGCCCCGCGTTCCTGCGGCGTAAAGCGCGAAACCTTCCTCGTGGTTGACAACCAACTGACAGGCTTTGCCTTGCCATGTGCAACCTATAACACACGAAATATCAACGAAATTAAAATAACAGTATAGGTAAAGAAAGATATGAATCTATGCAATATCCTATCCTATTTAATTGATTCCATTCAACCTAATACAATTCAAACGTTTCTTTAAATATTATTTTTATATTTTATCGTTAATATCCCTAACTGCACATATAGATTCTGAGAATGTTCGGAGAATATTGCAAACGTAGAAAATATTTTACGAAATTAAATATATTCTTAGTACATTCGTAATATCTGTAAGGGATAATAGATACAAATTCTGTTAATATAGGCCAATTTCGTGTCTTGTTTATTCTCCTTATGATGTTTATTGTTTCGCCAATTTTTCTTATTTTACTTATAACAATAACACAAATTATAATAATTAAATAATTTAAACTTATACACATAATCGAAACAAATCTTTTAATAAATTGATTGTTCATTTTTTCTGAATAAAAATGTGATTAGATAATTGTTAAGAAAATTTTAATTATAAATTTTATTATTTCATAAACCCAGTTACGTTAAAAATAAATAATAATGAATAAAGGCTATATTTTTTATTTATTTTTAATCATCGTGATCGTAATTAAATAACTGTATTTAATTTGCATGTAAATTTCTTGCGACACGTTATTTTTTATGAGACAGCCTGTATTTGTAATACATTTTTCCATTGCGCATTTCTGCCGCATCGGTATCCACGGTTCTTTATCATCGACGAGTTCGCGCGCGACGCAAGACGCGAATAAAAAGACGCGTATGAAATGGGCGAGGCATTCATCTCGATTTATTATTGCCGTTCGTCGTCTCTGAAAAGAAATTAAAATTCATCGAACCGAACGCGGAAAATGACGAGAGTAGTAGATGTCGACTATCATTCGCCGCTATATAACTAACATCGAAGGAACTCGAGTTCACCATTTCCTCAAGTATTTGACGCTACGCATTTCCGTCTCTCGTCCACACAATTTTTAATGTATACTATTTGTCAATTTTATTTTCCAAATTTTCCTAACCTTCTTAAATTAATTTACTAAGAATTACTTCAAATATCTAAAAGAATCAGCCTCTTTTTAAAATTATTAATGATCAAGTGTATAGTTAATATGTAAGATTACTCACGAACGGTGTACTCCCGTAAGGAATGAGCGGCCGCGTGGCATCCCTGAACGATCGCCCTTGCCCAGGCCGCCAGATCTCTTCGTGTTTCAGCTCGTAAATGATGCGTGACTACCCCGTCCATCGTGCCAACCCGAACCGCGAACGTCGCCCCGTGTTGAGTCGACCCGCTACTGCTGCTCGCTGCTTCATTCTGTCGCGTGGGAGTGGAGACCAGCCTGAAATCATTCAGTTCAAGTCGTTTTTAAGCCCACAGATTCTTATGAAAGTCGTTAAACATGTATCAATCTTTAAAAATTAATACAAAACTATTGAAGTTCTCCTTCCATTCTCTAAATCTCATACAGTGGTTTCGCCAATATATTAGAATTAGAGTGATTATGGATAGTCATTCCAAAAGAGAGGGTTGTCACTCTAATTTGTAATTGAGTAAATGCGGAATGCGGGCATTCCCTCTCATAAGGTAGAAGTGAATTTTTCATTCAAATTTTTAGAGCGGCTCTAGCGAGATTATATCACTCTTCACTCTTTGATTTTTAGAGAGCGTGCATCTCGCGCGGTTAGACGCGGTTTTTACATTAGATCGATACCCAAGCATGATAGAATGAAGATTGAAGATTCCGCGGGGGTACGAAAATCACGTGACATCGCTCTTAGGGGGCCGTCGGGTAAAAAGCGCCCGACCTTTATCGAAACGATCGAACGCGCCTTGTAGCGAGTCACGGGTATGGATTCATTCCCGCGTCGTCCCTTCATCCCTCTCTCTCTCCCAGCGGGTAGGTAAATTACCTCGTCATCCGGCTCGCCTCGCTCGTAAAATCGTCGCGGCTTTATTGCATGTGGGACGAAGCTGCAGTGTTCACCTGACACGGGTTCGGCCACGTATGCACCCCCCGGTCCCCCCCCCCCCCCCACGAATCCATTCCCTCCCACCAATCTGCCCGCTGACGAATGGTCCTGACGTTCGCGAGCCCGTGCACTAGATTTATAGATTTTTCCGAGGGACACTGGCGAGCTCGAAAAAAAAGAGGAAAAACAAGAAGTGATAGAAAGAACACCCTACGCAATAGAGGACAGAACGGACGTAAAAAAATAGTACACTTGGACCGGAAAAAATGCCCGTGGCCCTCGACATTATTCGACATGCCTAACGGTCGCCGCCGCCGGGGCCTTTTTCGCTCCGATGCTATATAATGATTGCCCACTGGCATCGAGATGTAGTTGAAATTCCGTGACAAAGCAGAGCATCTAGATTGTTCAAATTATACTGCTCAGAGCATTTAAAGAGATGTAGGAGGGATTAAAAGAAACATTAATTTATCAGCAATTATGCGGCTGAAATATTATTTCTGAATTTGGGGAACAGAAATATTAGGGGTATTCAAATAAGTTAGAGTTTAACGGTTTGACAGGTTATGTCGGGTTAAAGTCGAGTAAAAAGTTAATTTTTAAACTTTTAACCCAAAGATTAATGTGATAGGTTAATGAGTCACTTATGTATTTTGCATAACCTTAAAGAATAGCGCGCCCAAAGTTAATTAATTAACTTTTTACTCGACTTTAACCCGACATAACCTGTCAAACCGTTAAACTTTAACATATTTGAATACCCCTATTGTTTAAACATCCGATATCTGAGTCTCGACATTTAAGAAAATAAATCTTTGAAATATTTAATCATCTTTAGATCATCTTTATCTTTAAACTTCAAATCTATCCTTTAAGCATTTGTCTTGCAAATTTGTTGGAAATAATGTATTCGTATCCATTATCTGATCCAAACACAGATCTTAACGTCGCTAGATCCTTGATTATTGGCTGAGGTTCGAAATAATTTGAGTTCTCCCGGCGCAATGGATATTCATTGGCATTATCGCGAGGAGCTCTTCGGCGGGACAGTAGAAAAAAAATAAGACAACGGCAAAAAGCAAAGCGCGACTGGAGAAAATTCCGATAAGCGGGAGGAAGTTGGAGAGACAGCCGCAAACGGTAAATAAAAGCGTTAAACGAGAATGGATGTTCGTCGGCGGTCGTAATCCGACGAAAAAGCCCGCAGGAAGAAAAGAAAGTTTCCCCGGGGATAGCCGAATCACTTCCGGTTTGTCTCGCAGTAAAACTTCCTTAAGTCGGCCATTTCGCGTTCTCGCTCGCGTCGGGCCCGATACACCACAGGCCCCGTCGACCGGAAATAAAACTTCCCGACATGTTCCGCTCTTTTCACGTGTCTTTCAGCTTCTTCGTTTCTTTCGCCCCATCGAATGGAAACTTCAAGAAAACGATGTCTGAATGTTTGATGACGGAAGAAGAAGATGATTAATAGCGACAACCCGAAGCTCGAAGGAAAATTTTTTCCCCTCGTGCGATATATTGATTAAATTTTCTATTTAATGAAAAAAACGTGGACGATCATTATGCATCAAAAATTTCAATAAATTCCAGCATTAAGATTTATAACGTATATAAAAATGCACGATTAAAGGTTTTAATAAATTTTATAATTATATTAAATAAAGGCAAATAGATGGTCGGATATTGAATGTGAATCAAGTATACTAAATAGTTAAATATTAACCCAGTATGGAGTGACATCGTAAATAAATTTGTTCTATTGTGCATAATTTATTATTATCTGTATTGCTTTATTATTGACCAAACACGCGCGATACGCATGTTTAATCGGAAATGTAAATAACATTGACTTGTTAGTGAAACAAACACGCAATTATATACAATTCCCTATAATTTCTTCCTCCGATAACATTAAATAGGAAACCATCTTCGATATATTTTTATCTTATGTTAATATAAATGACGTCAATTTATCCGCCTCGACAGTGGGAAGTGGGAACAAGCAGCCTTCTTACTTCGTTATACAGTATCTTTGTTCAAGAAAAAAAAATGATATTCGAAATGTCCCATATATATCCCGTATATAACGGACACGATAAAAACAGAGGCGCGGGCTCGTAAGCTCCCACGAACGATCGATGCGCGTTTCCCTCTAGTCTTTTTCACTTAAAATTTAAACGAGGCTTAGCTGGATCACCGATCATTCAAACAGCGTGACTGCCTGACACCACATTTAAGCCGCTCGAAAACACCCGGGCTCATCGTTAAAAATGAAGCTGACGTTAATTCACAACAGCGATGCGCGGGAAAGTTTAACGCGATATAAAATAATGCAACGAGACATTTTCGGCGTTACGCAATACATAACTTTCGCTCGGGGCGCTTTATTTTTCCACGTATTTGCAGGAGGCAGTCTTTGTAGCAGTAATAGTTTATACATATGTATATATATATATATTATGATAAATTTTATACAATTTTAAACATATGACAGAAGATTGATGTAACATTTTGCATATTATTTCACAGATTTAGAGATAAATTTTCTTTTAGCGCAGTTTTTGAAATTTTAACATTTTCAGTATTATTTTGATAATAATATGCATAAAATAAAGCTGTAAATTATTTAAAATACAACAAAGAAATTAACTATAAAGGATAATACGTCCTCTTATCTATTTGCAAACTTAATTATACGCGCTACTTACGAAAAATTAATCAAAATTGACTTATAAAAGAATATATTTCTAAAGCTTGATGCCTACTTTACGAAGCACTGTGTATAAAAAATACATTCAAAGAGACAGAAAACAGAAATATTCCCGGAAAAAGATTCAAATGGAAGAAAAGAAAAACATTCTGACTGAAAAGAATAAGTTTATACTTAAAAAATATCTGCTTTTCTTTCAGTTTTAAAGACTAAAGTTAAAATATAGTTATTAAAACGTATCATTTATATATTTCTTAAATGAAAATGGTTATAACATTTCGCTAATTTTTAAACGACAAATAATTTTGATTATATCTATACACTTTATCATATTTACTTATTTTTATTCCAATTTAGAATTCAAGAAAGACTGGATATAAGGATTTTATAGATTAATCGATAATATAAAATTTATACCTATTTATTAAAATTAGCATTAAAACTTATTATTAATAGCTCTTAGTAAGTTTTCTTATTACACTTAGTATTAAAATTGAAATAATATTCAAAATAAAATATTGATTATTTCAGTACTTATTACTTCAATCAAAAATTAAGCAAATTTTGTACCAACTTTTACAATGCATATATACATAAAAATATAACCAAAATATCGTTCACGTCAAAAAATAGCAGCGTTCGGTGACGAGAAATAGCGCGGAATATTAAATCCCGGAAAATCTGCGATAAAATCCGATTAAGACGCGCGAGATCTCGTGATGACGAGTATCGACTTTCGGCACGATCCCATTAGTTCAGTCGCAGCGACTATATTTGCCGATCATCCGGCGTCGAAATTCACTATGAATTATCAATAATTCGATTCGTGTCATAGCGCAACACTGGCGTTTATATATCCTTCACATTTACCTCTATTACGGATTATATACGCAATTTATCCTCGCGCGCGATTGTAAATCGAGATCAATCGACAAAATTATGCAGGATTCAAGGATATATGATAACAGCGAGATAATGCCAATTATGAGATAAATATAGGTATTTTCTTGATATTCTTCTCATAATTTTAGTTAAACTATATTTAGTATTATTTTTGTATATAAAATATTCAAAAAATGTTCAAAAAAACTAATTCTTATCGATATTTTGCTAGCATCACATCCATTTGAAACAAGTTACGCAACTGAAATCAATACATATATAGATATATGTATACATATATATATGTATATAGAGATCAATATAAGAAGCCGTCTTACGTGTCTCGAACGAGGCCGAAGGGCCAATCGGGGAATAAGGACGAAGAGAGACGAAGGGATGATGGTTGCAGGATAGGGGGAGAGGATGCGCCGCGGGCAAAATCCTGAACTCGTTCCGAATATCGTACCTCGATTGCACGCGCGATCGGAAACTGTCGACGACACCTTCGATAATTAATGTCTACCCCGGAGGATTTAATTGATCCAGTTCACCGTTCGATTATCGGGACCTCATCTTTCATATCCTGTCCTACCGCCCTTCTACCCCGCGGCCTCACCCTACCCCTTTTTCAGCCGCTCTTATCTGGCCCTTATCCGCCTAGCCGACTCTATCTCTATGGCCTTTAATTTACTACGGCAGACAATTATGAATCTTATTAAGCCGACGCGAAAAGCACGGTAAAGACATATTACGTTTAAGAATGTAGACATTCTAAAG